AATGCGCAGAATGTCTCGCCGAGGCCTGGGCACTGCTTCACTAGCTGTGGCTGCACTACATAAACAAGTTCCGCTGCCAGCTCAGCATCAAAAGCAATACCATTTTTCGTGATAAACACTGCCTGCTCTTCAAAAGCCGACCAATTTTCATCGAGAAGGTTCAAAATAAAAGTGGAGTCCATAATTTTAAATTAAGCAGATAAACCGAGGCCTGATGGGCAATGCTGACAACCTTCCCTGATAGACGAATCTTCTTCAATTTCAATCTGCCGTACTCGCGTCCCTCGTAAGGGACGCGACTACGACACAGCTGCTCAAGAACACCGACAAAAATGATAAAAGCTCTGCGGTTGCTCATAAGCTATCATAGAATTTCGTAAGAAGGTCAAGCCCGTGAGTCAACGCGGCATAGCAGAATGTATGACCGGTCCTTACATAGCCAAACACGCAAAAGGCAACGACTTGAACGCCGAACAAACACCAAAACAGCAAGATAAGCCTGAAAGTTTTCCTGATAAAGGCGTTTGGGATGGCGGTGCTGTTGTCGGTAATGCATCGGCAATGGTGTTGCTGCCAGCGGCGACCGATGACACGGGCGCCATTACCCCTGCCTTCCATGGCGGTTGTGATCAGCATAAGCGCAAGCTGTCACCCAATCAGCTCGACAACAATGAATGCGGCGAGGCGCCCAACCCGAGCGCTCGCAGTGCCAAGCGGGCTCAGACACAGCACATTGATTTGCTATGCGGTTGCTTGTTTTGGGCCTTTGCTTGGTCGGATTTACTTTTTGTTAACAAACAGTGCCAGAACTATCTATGCATGTGCATGAAGAGTGCGCACATGAACGAAAACGCGCCAACTCAGTGCGTGCCTCTTGGTCTATGAGGGGAGTTGTAACTTATCGGGGGGGGGGAGTCTGGGGGGGGGTGTAGCCCCCCCCAGCGCCCCACTCTTAAGGAATACATTACGGCGACGCTAGCAACTTTGTTACTTAGGTTGGAATAAATTGAGACCCCCCCTAAATGAAAAAAAAATCACTGGTTGGAATGGCTGTTCATCACAGCCTGTGCTGGTGAGAGTTTTCAAAACCAGCCGGCCTGTGCTGGGAAGTTGCCAGACATTGCAGTTATAAAGGACCATGACGAGCCTTTGTTGTGGGCTTGTCGATGAGGGGTGGGCTTCACTGAAGTCTGCCCAATTATCTCAAACTGCTACAGTTTTGTGGTAAGGAAGTGGGAGAGGCTGGGCACTGCCTGGTCCCCACAGCATGTGCTGGGGTTTTGTAAGTATGGCGATAATCGTTACATGCCAGGCAGTGTTAGCCTGCCAGAACCTTGCCAACATTGATGCAGAACAGACATCAGCTCAGCGGCATGGTTTAACCCAAGCAGACACTCTCCAGCATATTGAACTCCTCTCACCGTCTACCCATCGTCTATTCTTCGTCTACAATAGATGAATCGACTATAGACGACATGTATAGACGACTCGACTTTAGACGAACTATTGTAGATGACTCGTCTAATAGACGGGTCTTCAGGATATAGACGACCGAAAAAAATACAGACGTAGAAGCTCCGGTCGCTTCGCTCCGTCGCATCTAAGCCAACAATTAGTGTCCATGGTAGGTGCGTAAGTATACATGTGCTGTTAGCAAGTAGCTGCTAGCAAGTAGTTGCTTGCAAATGCGCAGTGCAATGAACATGTGAAGGCCGCCATATAACATATCAAGCTCAAGTGGCCATGTAGGAGGGTAGGATCCGGGTTGGAATTGGGGAAGAGCTCTGTCGCAGAATTAGCCTGGATTTTATTCCTGACAAAAGAATTGGTCCGTCGGGGTCTTGAAATGTTCTGGCAGGCTCGCCGGAGATATTCGAATTGCGCTGTGGAGCCCCGGAATTGGGTTCTACTGGGCCTGAATTGGCCTGTCCGGGTGCCGAATTGGCCTAACAGGGTGTCGAATTAGCCTGGCAGGGTATCGAATTGACCTGTTCGGGGTGTCAAATTTGCCTTGCAGGGTATTGAATTAGCGTGTTCAGGGTGTCGAATTGGCTGTCGAGCTGGCAGGATTGGCTCAGGCTGGCATCCGGAGGCACATGACTTTTAAGGAATTTACAGAAAACTTTGCAAGGGGACCGCTTACAAGTGCGTCATGTGCGTATTGGTTTCGATCCCAGGACATGGAGCAGGAAAACTTGCACACCTGTTTATCGTACTCTGGCAATGTAGGGAGGCAAGCAATTAGGGCCACAACTGCAATACCCAGTCAAGTCAGTCGCCGAGGCCCCACTGTTTTCCTATCACACTTCATCGGCAGTTTGTCCAGTTTATCCCACAATACTCATATTGTAGTAGCTGGCCGCTGAAAAGGCCTCTCAAGATGCTCGTGGTCACGCTACACACGTATTTATAGAACCGTACTGTGTACCAGCTACTACATCCCCCCCCTTTGAAGGGATCCGTCTCGGGCCCTTAGAGCCTCGTATACCACCAGCCTGTGCCTACCTTATCCTACCCTCGGGCAGTGGGGGACCAATCACCGTCACGTCATGTGCCGGTTCACATGCGCCTAGCCGTCTTCAGATTTTTCAGGCACAGAGACAGTCCAGTCGGTTCAGGTACATTTTATTTTTCGCGATAATCGCTCACTGAGTCATCAAACCCTATATTCCACCAAGCATGATTAGTGGGGGTTGAACCGACGATTCAGGATCGTGAATCCTCACGAGGTCTCAATACCAAATGTAGTAGCTGGCCGCTGAAAAGGCCTCTCGAGATTCTGGTGGTCGCGCCACACGCGTATTTATAGAGCCGTACTGTGTACCAGCTACGACACGTATGCATGAATAGGTTCGGGTGGAAACAATGGCAAACCTCCGATACACACCGCTAAACTCAGTACCACGACCTACAATGAAAACAAATGAAAATGCAGATGTCTGTCGAGAAGAAAGTGTGCTCCATATGCGTTCTGTGCCTTAATCCATCGAGCTCTCTGTTGGGCGGGGCATGCATGGCCCATGAAGTTGCCCCTGGCATTCTGCCCATGCAACTAAACACTGACACAAAACGTTGCACATCTGGGCCCATGTAGACCACCACACTTCCGTGTGGATTGGCTACCCGCGCTCCCCATGTCAGGGGTCCTCCTTCCTGCTGGTGACTCCCAGATTGTCCACGCACAAACGCCAAACATGGGTGCAGAAAACAGACTGGCCACTGCAGTATGGCATCAAACCATGCATAACCCACAGCGGCTTTCAGCAGCAGTACTGCTTGGCCAATGCGACCAGCCATGTACTCCATTGCGCATCAAACACTCATCCATGCATTGCACTCCAGCAAACCATCGGACTCCATATCGTAATACAGTCACCCCAACACGTATGTTAGCAGCCGTGGACAAGCATGGGTCCAGGTTGATCCCGCCAGGAGTGAACACCGTGTGCACCAGCTCTATGATACTCAGTGGGGTGAAACACTCCGGGCTCTCACTGGAGAGAAACAAGCGCACATTCCCAACCCCTCAGCTTCGAACCATATGGCCTCCTTCACCAAACTCGCTTTCGCTGACATCCATGTCGCCACGGCTGTTGTTGCTGCTGTTGTCCCTGCCAGTCATGGTTGTAGTGCCCCGCAGCAAACAGCTCCTGCCTGTGACCTCCAATGCATATTGCTCAACGAGCCGCCCACTCAGGGGCTGTGTCTCAGCTACAGAGCGCGCCAAAGCAACTATACAGGTGCCTGTCTTGAATATCCAGCAACGAGTTGGCAATCTGTCGAAACTGTGAACCGACCCCCGAACAAGCTGCTCTGCCCTTAAGAGACACGCCAT